AAAGAGAAGAGATTAGAGCTCATAAAAAATGAGGTCAACAGGGTGATAGGGATGATTTTGGATTGTTGCATGTTCGTGGAACCATGATTGATAAACATATCTTCTTTATTTGATATTAAACAGTTACTTCACTTAATCGACATCTTTGAGTCATTACCTAGAATCAAAAACATATTTTCAAATCAAATACAAATTCTTAAATAGAAAACAATAACAACAAAGAATAAGAAAGCTTACGTGTGCTGCCCCATAAATTATTGGCAATTTCATCTTGCACTACTTCTCCTCGAAGACTCTCGGTAACTGTTGCATGCATTTCGAGATTTTTGTCAGTTCCAGTAACCTTCATGGTCCATCTCAGTTTGGGACATATTAAAATATATTCACTCTAATGACAACGTCCAATGAAATTGTGAAAGAATGTACGAGCAATCACAATGTTGCATTTTACCTTAATTGGAAACTTATCCATGTGACTTAAAACTTGAAATATTTCTTTTCAAATCTCAAAAGTTCTTTCAACAACATTACATAGTTGTGCATGTTGATTATTGAACAATTCATGTGGGTTGAGTATCTACAGGTCGTGGTTATAAGGTAATTACTCAAAAGGTAACAATATCATCTAAAACGTGTTATCATATTCTCTTTACATGCAAACGCCAAGTTGACCAAATAATATTTATTTTTAGGAACTGTAAAGTTCCTCTTCTCTACTAATCATCATCATACCCTCAGATCAACAGCAGAGCCTTCCCAATTCATGACAATGAAGACAAATTGGTGATCAAATATAACTATAACCATCACATTTAGTGAGGTAAATCATTTTATATTAAGGTACACATTTTGTACATCTCTATCAACTATTGCATGGGATTTTTATCAATCGCCCCTATAACATTTTGAAAATGTGGATACAATTGTGCATTTGTCAGTATGAAAGGGCCACATTCGCTTCCGCGAGGGGCAAATTAATGAATTTATTTGATAGTGATGTAATCGCTTGCAACACATTATTGAAGTATCTGCTTATCGTTTCTAATGAGTGATGAAAATTTTCTCGGAGTTGCCTGTAACTATGAGCATGTACGATGCCTCAAAGAAAAATTCATAATTCTTCAACAACCTCAATATTCTTAGTGTGAGCCAGTAGTTCTCTGTTAATCAATAAGTTTCTCAATTGCATAAAAGCATCTGTTGGAAGACTGAAATAATTATATGATCACGTTGGATGACAGACCAAGACATCCTAAATGTATTGACAACTGATATATAATCTATCAAACATTGGCCTCATGATATATTCATCATCACCATATGATGAACTTTATTCATCTGAAATAGCAAGGCTCATATCTTTTATAGCATAGTTAACTATAAATGTGTGTCAGTCATTTCTTGGATCTCATCCGAAAAAGTCCCCCTAAAAATGTGGCATTGTTGAATTAAAATTGTCAGTACATTAGTAAATGATAACAATAAAAAAATCATCAGTATCTTTCATCTCATTACAACAATTACAAAAAATCTATTATATCATGAATATAATACTTTAAGCTGCTCAACATTGTAAGAGAAAAAATTGTGCTTGGAGGGAAGTAAAGACATGTATGTAAGAAATGAAGTTTAAGTGTAAGATATGTAAATGCATAAAAAATGAGTTGTTTGTATGTAGATCAAACTTCAAAGAAGGGAAAACATTGTTTATTGCATTGGATTGCACATAATATATGAACTCGGCTCTTATATGTAAAAGCTCAACTTATGTCATTTGACTCTATTTTTTTGCATCGTATTGCAAGTGCTTTTATGAACTAAAGTTGAGTTATAGCCTAAATGTGTAATTCCCTGGATTTCATTCAACAAGCTTCAAGGAGTTAATGAATTTTTTGCTATGAATGATAGATATTGTATTGCGAAGTTGAAGCATATGAATCAAACATTATAATATGTGCCACCAAAGTATTGAAACTTAAGTAAATGGCAGTGTTGGAGAGAGATGCATGTAATAGCCCAAAAATAAAAATGAAAAAACAAATGAAGGTAGCACGAATGTAAGATGTTACCTCTCAAAGATAATATTATTTTGCATAATGAAAAACTCTATCAAATACATCTTCTTTATAAAAGAGTTACGTACATACCAATGAATTTAAGATGTATAAATGTGGAGAAAAAAACTTTAGGTGTATAGATAGGAGTTTTGGTGGAAACACCTTCAAATAATCTATCAAATACCACTCAGAGCATTATTTTGCATAATGAAAAACATGAAGTGCATACAATAAAGAAATAACAATTGTTTACAGAAAGATACAATAAAATGAAGATTGAACAAGCACACCTAAGACATTCAATCAAATGGTATAACTACAACCCATCCCTTGTCATGAAAAAAACTATATCGACTTCGTCCACCTTTAATGCTTCATGCACCATAATTACAACTTCATTGGAAATGTTTGGAATGCTGTAAAGTTTGGACTAACATTCAAAGGATATGAATAGAGAGTGACACTCACACCATTGTTGAAATAGTTCTACGTTTTTGTTAACTGCCTAATATAACACATTCCAGTTTGATATATCTCCTCTTCTTTTAGTAGTTTGTTTGTTGTGATGGATTCTTGGGTTTGATCATTTGCTACCGCTTGATTGACCAAATACTTCTCGCATGCTGACATCCTTGTCTAATTGAACATATGGTTTTGTACCTGACCCATCCAACTCATCTACATAGCTTACTCTATTCATGGTCATAAATTCATCAATCGTCATAGTAACTTTCTCTATTTTTGTCGGGGCTGGAATCAATTGCTCCAACACTGGTTGTAATATTTTGATAACAAATAGTTTAAAAAATATCATATTGGTGGAAATGATTCCTCCGATAGCGTTTCAACTTTGGTTAACTTACAAATTTTTATTTTCAAAATACTTGCCATAAAACTCATTAATTTCAAAATATTCCACGTGTATGACATCTTACCTTTATAATTTCTTCCCAAATTTCATCAGTTGCAATTGGTAGGTGCATATATTCATCCCAACCCCAACCAACCTGGTTTGACAACTACTACATTGCTCGAAAATTCGCTTTCATCTTTTTGAAGCGAGTCATAACCATTGGTTCAATATAAGTGGTGTCTAATTGTTTAGTTAATACGTCGACAAAGAAAACTCAATAATCCTCCTTATTCTACCTTCTATCATATGTCCACATTGAAATTGTTCGAGCAGGATATCTGAAGAACAATATTGCATTCTTCAAGCCATTTTGACAAATCCAGTGGAATTATTTTGCTTTACATTATGGATGGAAATATTTTTCTGGATGGAAATATTTTTCATCAGAGGACGATTTTGAACTAGGCCCGCGGGCCAATTTTCTTTTAGAAATTTCTTCATCACTGCAACATGTTAAACATTAAAAAAAAACTATGTTCATAGTAAAATCATTATTATGATCATTTTAAGTTTATAGATTAGTGAAGAAGTAATACTTTTTTTTTTATTTTCTCTTATTTGTGTAACGTATCTGAGATGTTGCATACAATTGACATTTACAATTCATTATCACTTAGAATGTTAGTTTTCGTGTTGTCATGGTTTGTTTTTTTTATGAATAATTATATTGTCACGTTTATCATTGGTAGTAGGATTGTCATTGCTAACAACCTCTTCAGAGTTACTCATATTCAATTAGCCCTAGTTTAAAAAAAAAAACATCACTTGGGTCCAGTCGGTATAAGCATCTATTCTCAATGATCTTATACCTCAATTTGCAACCTTAGTACAACAAAATTAATTAAGCAATTAAGGTCAATTTTAAAATAAGAACCCAAACAATTTATTTAGATTAATTGAGTTGATGTAACACAAATCAATGTACAAGATTCCGTAAGCAACATAATGATATCATATGAAATGTAAACTAAAGATGGTAAATGTTTTTGGTCTTTTTCTTGATGAAAACAAATGAAAAAATGAAGTATGCAAAGACTAATAAAGAAGTAAGCTAATTTAAACAAGCATATTTGCAATTTAAGATAAGAAATAAAAAACAAGAATAACTCTCTATGTGAATCATTAATAGATTTTTTAAAAGAAATTAATGGAAAAACTTGATATTAAACAGTAAAGATAGTTGAATCCAACTATATGTCCGAAGCAATTTTCAAAACATAATTTAAATATCTCACACTTTACAAGGAGGGGAAAAGGACCACATCTCTGATTTTCAATTAGTAAAAGAAATTTAGATCAAGTGATAGATCATAAATGCGGAAAAGGAGAAAAAAGAAAAGAAGACATTGAGGTCATGAACAAAGAGCAAAACATAAGCAAAAATTTCCAAATATGATTTTTTTTTAACTCATCACTGTAATTGAATGATAAGAAAAGAAACCCACTTAAATCCTTCATTGCATATTCCACTTTTTAGCTGTGGGGACCAGTTTGCAAACCTTATAAACGACGAAAATGAAAGCACTGATCCACGAAGAGAATGTCGATGTAATACACTTAGAGCAGAGACTTCAACAATGTAGTTGTTGCACTAAATAGACCGAATGCAGCACTATGCGACAAGGATGACGACATGGGCACCACGGTTGTTTCCTTCGAATAACTTGTAATCCGTTAAATTCGTCGAAAACACATATTTAGTAAAACCAGGATTTAACGTGAAAATGTGAGAAAAATGTTTTTTATGAAATTCACAAATTTATCATATCAATGTTTGGTGTTTGGCTGGATTTAGTCAGAAAGCACTACTAGGTCCTATTAAAGGTGTTCTGTCAAACACCCCCTAAGGACACTAAAAAGTCTTTTTTTATTTTAATGTAGTGTTTTGTTTTAATGTAGTAATATATATATA